TCTCTCTCTCTCTCTCTCTCTCTCTCTCCCTTCCTTCCTTTCCTTCCTTCCTTCCTTCCTTCCTTCCTTCCTTCCTTCCTTCCTTCCTTCCTTCTTTCTTTCTTTCTCTCTCTCTCTCTCTCTCTCTCTCTCTCTCTCTTTCTTTCTTTCTTTCTTTCTTTCTTTCTTTCTATTTGGTTTTTCAAGACAGGCCCCAGGTTGGACTGCAGCTAGAGCTACTTGGAGCCAGAAGGCTTAAAATAAAATAAGCCGGTGCTACGAACAACTCATGCCCTGCCAGAGCTACCAGTCCGGGTGCACTCCACTGTAATTGCAGCAGCTACATGCAACTGCAGATAGAGCTGGTTTTGGCCAAAACAACAACTCATGTGGTTAGAGCTTAAGGAAGCCAGAGCCCAGGTTCAACTCAGCTCAAGCGGGAACATGTGGCTGGGTTTAGGCTTTTAGCCAGAACTTGTGGCTACTCTTTCTTTCTTTCTTTCTTTCTTTCTTTCTTTCTTTCTTTCTTTCTTTCTTTCTTTCTTCCTTTCTTCCTTTCTTCCTTTCTTCCTTTCTTCCTTTCTTTCTGTCTCTGTCTTTCTCTGTGTCTCTCTCTGTGTCTCTCTCTCTCTGTCTCTCTCTCTCTCTCTCTCCACCTCCCCTCTCTGGATTCCCACCTCGGATGCTAGGTAGCTGTTTTGAAATTTCCTCAGATTTCTACTGTTCTATGCAGACTTTGTAAGTCAATAAAATATCAGACCTTTTAAAGGAAAAAACTATTTAAAAGAGAAAAAATTTCTTTTCCACATTAAAAAAAATGGGTATTATGTGTACATTAGAAGAAAACTGGACTATGTTTGATAAAATTAGGCAGTCTGAAAATGGAACAACTATATGAGAAGGTGAATGTTGATGGGATTATGCACATTATTACTTTCCTTATCCTTATTTTACTATTTAAAAAGATAGTCAATTTAATTGCCAGGATAAAAGTTAACTGAAATGTTAGATTTACAAAGGTTTAAGGAGGCAATAGTATCTTATGGCATGCATTCCCTATTTGTAAAGCAAATGTTAAAGTCTTGGTCAACTTGTAAAAAGATTATACCACGGAATTGGCAAGAGCTGGCAAATGCTGTCCTGGAACCCAGGGCACAGCTGCAGTGGCATATGTGGTTCAGAGATGAAGCTAAAAACATAGAAAATCAATGGAGAGCTAGAGGTGTACAAATCTCCCAGGATCAGCTATTTGGAGAAGGCCAATATGCTACAATACAAAGACAATGTTTATATGATAACCAAACCCTAATTCTATGTCAAATGGCAGCCTTGAATGGGCCCGAATTGAGGAAGCAGGAAAGAAAACTTGATCATTCACAAAAGCTATACAGGGCCTAAAAAAAAACCTTCATGGATTTCTTACAAAGACTGACTTCAGCAGTAAATAGAATGGTCCTGAATTCAGAAGCTAGCCAGATAATAATAAAATCTTTGACTTTTGAGAATTTGAATGCAGCATGCAAGAGAATAATCAGGCCATTAAAGGCAAGAGCTTTGCCCTTGGAAGATTGGATTAGAGACATGTTTAATGATGAGGCTCATGACCATGATGATATGTGGATAGGAGAAGCAATTTCAAGAGGTTTGAGGAATGTCAGATGTTTTGGATGTGGAAAGCAAGGACATTTGAAAAGGGACTATAAACATGGCATTCCTAGAAACAATGTTTCTTCAAGGAACAATGGCACCAGAATGTCCCTTCCTTCTGGAATATGCAGAAAGTGTGGTAAGGGAGAATATTGGATCCAGGAATGTAGATTAACAAGGGACAGACAAGGTAATCTTTGCCTCAGGCATCAGGGAATTCCCAGAGGGTCCTCAGGCATCAGGAAATTCCCAGAGGGGCCTCAGGCAGGCCTCCACAGAAAATCCAGCTCAGACCTTTCCTGCAGCTATAGAGGAAACCCCTATTCAGAGCAATTAAACAACCAAATGCTGATTGAAATAAACCAGGCTGCTTGGGGTGATGGAACAGCTGAGACAGAGAGAACAGAAAATTCAGGAGAAAACATAATGAAATTTTTTTGGAAAACTTCTATAAATGAACAAAGACCAAAATTAACAATAAAAATAAATGGTGTTTTGTTGTCTGGTCTGATAGACACAGGTGCTGATGTGACCATAATTGCACCAGAATTGTGGCATCTTCAGGAGGTAAACGTTCAGCTGTTAGGAACTGGGACATTATGTCAAGTGAAACAGAATGCAAGATGGCTCTAATGTATAGGTCCAGAAGGACAGAGAGGAAAATTAAAATCCTATGTGGCTAACATAGCTATGAACTTGTGGAGTCGAGATCTGTTACAACAATGGAATACTCAGATTAAAATCCCTCCAACCTCAGAAACAAATCTTAAACTAGCACATGTTTCTGAGAGAAACATTAGAAGGTATGATTCTAATGAGTGGTCACCAGTCATGCAGAATGTACAAGAACAGGGCAAAACAATTGATGATCTTCCAAAGACACCAACAGCTCTACCTTTAAAATGGTTGACAGACAATCCTATATGGGTTTAGCAATGGCCTTTAACAACAGAGAAACTCCAGGCTTTAGAAAAGCTGGTAGAAGAGCAGTTAAATGCTCTGCATATTGAAGATCAACCAGTCCTTGGAATTCTCCTGTATTTGTTATTAAAAAAAATCTGGTAAATGGAAAATGGTAACAGACCTTAGAGCAATTAACAAAGTAACTCAGCCAATGGGCTCTCTACAATCTGGAATTCCTTTGCCTACTCTGTTACCTAAAGGATGGCTTCTTATAGTTACTGATATAAAAGACTGTTTCTTTTCAATAACCTTACAAGAAAAAGACAGAGAAATATTTGCCTTCACAGTGCCTACTTATAATAATTCTCAACTGGATAAGACATATCAATGGAGAGTCCTCCCACAGGGAATGTGCCAATATTTTGTACAACAGCCAATGGAAGTGATACGTAAAAAATTTCCTAAGTCTATAATTCATCATTATATGAAGTATATTTTACTAGCTGATGCAAATGCAGATACTTTAGAAAGAGCATGTGAAGAAATAAAGAAAATTTTGCCTTGCTGGGGATTAGTAATTGCTCCTGAAAAGATACACAGAGAGGAGCGCTCTCTGTGCGCTCTCTGTGCTGGGACGCTGAATGGTGAAGGTGGACTGTGCAGAGCTCCGGAGAACACCGCTGGACTGCCATACACCTTCCCCAGACCCTGCGACCTACCTATTACTTAATTTATGAGTTACGCCATTAAATAAATATCCTTTTAACTACATGGAGTGGCCAAAATAATTTCTCCAATAGAATATGGCATTTAAAATGTTTCAGTAACTTAGAGATTTTTTCTTTTTTATGATTATGAGATATTTCAGATCCTGGCAGTACCAATCTACTCCAGAGAATATATGGGCATTGAAGAAACTGCACATGGAGTTAACTTTCTTTGTGGCAAAATTTAGCCACTGGATAACAAAATATCCTTAAATTGACTGCTGACAAACAGGACAAAATGGACAGACAGGGCACAAAACAAAGGACTATTGATTCTTGGCAAGATAAGTGTGGTTGTGGCTTTAACAAAAGGCATCTTCTGAGGCCAGGACAATATGGTACCATCCCTGAAGTGGCCTTTGCAATCTGGAAAAGGTACAGTGCTCTTTTCTTCGAAGGCAGCTGAACTGGCAGTGGACCAATAGCTTCTGATGTGCAGTGAAACAGCAGCTTAACAGTTATTCTTGAAAGAGTAATTAAGCTAAAGGAGTCTAACCTCTCAATGGTAGACTGGCATATAAAAAAAGATTTGAAGCAACTACAAGCTGAGAAGAAAGGGATGTGGAGAAGAATGGGATGCTGAGATGAAGCCACATACACACAGCCAAGAAGAATGAACAGCTGAATTCTAAAAAAAAAAAAAAAAATCAACAATTTCAAGAATTTAAAATCCTGAATCATGGCAGGACACTAGTGGAATTCAGCTGTTTCTGGTACATGGACTGTTGTCACCAAATATGAGGTCGAACTGTTGGCCTTGTGTACATCCCACTTCACAAATTAGTCTGTCAGATACACTAAGCCTATAGGCTGAAGATGATGCCCCAACGCTGCAGAAAAACCTCGGGTGACTGTCCAGGCAGCTGGCTGTTTCTGTCAACTCACATTTTTTTGGGAAGCCACTTGCGTGCACTTCCTGTTTTTATTTTTTTGGTAATATTATTTCCTTTTTGGGTTTCTGAGGGAATTGAAGATTATACAGTTATATTTAGTTAAAGTTTAGATAGTTATAGTTTTCCTTGTTAAGAATTTTAGAAAAGAAACTCACTAAAGAGGTATAAGTGTATAAATTTGAAAGACATTATAAAATAGTTCTGTTAGTAATATAAGTTAGGATAGAAAGTGAATCAGGTACATTTTGGACTTACCAAAATAGGTAGATAATGGAATTATTTTCTCTGAATTTGTCAAATGCAAATGGACTAGACATTGTGTAGGTATTTATTGCTTGTATATATTGTATATAGTTATTGTACTTTTTGTATATATTTTTTCTTATATTAATTATAACTTTTTTCCTTTTTTCTTTTTATTAAAATAGAAGAGCAATATATGGTGATATTTTATTTGTGCTGAAGTGTGATTTTATTTGTATGTTAATAAATAAAAGTGCCTGGGGTTCAGAGCTAATAGCAAGCCATAACAGAAATCTGGGAGTGGTAGCACATGCCCTTAATCCTGATCACATGACAGGCAGATCTCTGTGTGTTCAAGGACACCACCATCATGGAGACACATGCCTTTAATCTCTATAACAACCATAGAAGACCTGGAGGTCTGTATAGACAGGCAGTGACAAGGAGGTCATGTCCTTGGGTTAACAACCAATGAGAAGGCAGAACAAAAAGTCAATAAAAAAGACAGGCACACAGAAAGTATGTCTATTTTTCAGGGGAATGACAGAAGCAGCAGTGAGGGGTAAGAAGGCAGTTTTAGTCTCAGCTGTTAGCTACTGCTCTGAACTCTTAGGCCTTTAACTCTACATTTGGCTCTGTGTTTCTTATTTAATAAGACTGTTACATCTACAGAGCCGAAAAATGGCATTAAATAAGGAATAAACTAGGGAACAGGACTATTAACATGCAGGTGAAAGTTGAGTCAAAAATAATATTTCTTCAAGACTAACATTGGAAGGTAGAAAATAAACTCCACCAGGAGCTGAGTTGCATGTAACAGATCTGTTTTAGACATGTTGTTATTCTGCTGTGAAATCTTGTATGAGTATACCTGTGGGGCTCAGAGAAGATTTTGGAGGTGTTCAATGTTATAGACAAATTTTTCCCTTAGCAAAGAGTATTTGTCCTGATGGTTCTGGAGATATGGCTCAGCTGTTAAGAGTACATACTTGCTCTTGCAATGGACTTGAGTTTGGCTTGCAGGTACCCTGCCAAGTGGCTCACAACTGCCTGTAACTCCAGCTTTAGGGCAGACCCAGCACCTCAAAGAAACACCTGTCCTTATATGTACATACACACACATACATAATTTAAAAACTGTACAAGGGTTTGTACTAAGGAAAACACGGTCTCATCGGCCTGCACATAGAATGTAGCATCTTTGTTCTAAAAAAAAAAGGCAATCAGCTTTAGTGCATCATGTTACTGACCGTTCCAAAAATAGTAGAAGACATTCCAGAGCCTGAAGATGATGAATCAGTGTCAAAGCGTTCTGGAGTCAGTTTGTGTATGAATCCCAAATGATCATAGTATAATGTGAAAATATTATCCCCAAGTCTTCCACTCTTAGTGTATCTTGTCAATCCTGTTAGGAAACAAACAGAACTCTCTTGATACTGCTAAAATATAACTAGAAGAAATTTTATATTATACCCGTAAATATTTTGCTCATTTAAATTAAGGGTAAGAGCAGGGCTATGAGACTTCTAAATTAGTAAAAATACATGCTACTTTGTGTTACATCCTTGGACAATCTTTTGCAGTTCCACTTCATTACAGAACATGTCCAGCAAAGTGGGCAGGTAGAATGGAACAAAGGGATTGTCTCATCAAAGCATATGGAAGAAAGATGTTGAGTCTCCCTTGGTGGTGTTTCCTCTTCCCAAAACTATCAAACTAGATTTCTGTCTATCTAGGATCCCTTGTGCTTCTGTATGAACTTTTTTTTTTCGGTTTCTGTGATGAACAGAACTGGACTTTGATTGTGATTGTATGGAATATGTAGATAGCTTTTGGTAGGGTAGCCAGTTTCAAAACATTGATTCTTCTAATTCATGAACAATTAGAGCAACTCTTTCCATTCTCTAGTGTTTTTCTCAATTTAATTCTTAAGTGTTTTAAAATTTTCATTGTAGAGATCCTTCACATCCTTTGTTAAATTTATTACAACATAGGGCTACCATGAATGGTATTCTTCCATTTTTTTAATATGTTGCCCATAGGCTTTTTATATATATTCCTTATTATATTGATATATGTTCCACTGTATTCTCAGATCGTTAGGACTTTAAAAATGAAGGGATGTTGGATTTTGTCAAATAATTTTTATGGTGACCATGTAATTTCTATACTAGAGTCCATTATGTGATTTTTTTTTTTTTTTTTTGGTTTTTCGAGACAGGGTTTCTCTGTGTAGCTTTGCGCCTTTCCTGGAGCTCACTTGGTAGCCCAGGCTGGCCTCGAACTCACAGAGATCCGCCTGCCTCTGCCTCCCGAGTGGCAGAGACTGGGATTAAAGGCGTGCGCCACCAACGCCCGGCTCCATTATGTGATTTTTAATATTTATAGCATTACATATACTGAGCCATTCCAGAATCTCTGTAGTAAACCAACTTTGATGATGGTGAGCAATATTTTTGATGAGTTCTTAAATTTTGTTTGCAAGTGCTTTTTTTGAGAATATTTTTAGTCTACGTTCATCAGATAAATTTGTGCTTTTGTTGTATCTTTATTTGCTTTGTTATCAGGGAATACTAGTTTCAATAGGAATTGAGAAGGCTTGGCATAGTGGTGCACACATTTAAACACAGCACTTGGGAGGGACAAGAATGTGTATTTCTGTGAGTTGAGGCCAGCCTGGTATATTTCTTGGGTTCTAGGTCAGTCAGAGCTACATCAAATGAGGCCCTGTTTTTTAAAAGAGAGAAAGACTGCCCCTGACTTCCCTTCTGGACCAGAGGTGAGTATCCGGGCCCAACCCAGACCACATACCTGGGCACCAGCCACTCCGGGAAGACCTGCCCAACTTGGCCCCAGGTTCTGGCCACCGGGCAGGTCCCCTTCTAGCCCCACTGGGAGGGATCCCCTTTTCTAAGCCCCCCTGCCCCCGGCAGCCCCTGCAATCTCCGCACCCTGCCCCCACACCCATCTGCCTGAGACCCCAGCCACTTCCTGAGACTTAGAGACCGGCCCCCAGCTCCCATCCTGCCCCCGACTTCCCTTCTGGACCAGAGGTGAGTATCCGGGTCCAACCCGGACCCCATCGCTGGGCACCAGCCACTCCTGGAAGACCTGCCCAACTTGGCCTCAGGTTCTGGCCACCAGGCAGGTCCCCTTCTAGCCCCACTGGGAGGGATCCCCTTTTCCAAGCCCCCCCCACAGCCCCTGCAATCTCCGTGCCCTGCCCCCACGCCTACCTGCCCGAGACCCCAGCCACTTCCTGAGACTTAGAGACCGGCCCCCAGCTCCCATCCTACCCCCAACTTCCCTTCTGGACCAGAGGTGAGTATCCGGGCCCAACCCGAACCCCATCCCTGGGCACCAGCCACTCTGGGAAGACCTGCCCAACTTGGCCCCAGGTTCTGGCCACCAGGCAGGTCCCCTTCTAGCCCCACTGGGAGGGATCCCCCTTCTCCAAGCCCCCCAGCAGCCCCTGTAATCTCCACGCCAGACCCCCATGCCCATCTGCCCGAGACCCCAGCCACCTCCTGAGACTTAGAGACCGGCCCCCAGCTCCAATCCTGCTCCCAACTTCCCTTCTGGACCAGAGACTTCCAGTCCAGATAAGAACTTCCATCCTGCCTGGGAGTTCCCATTTGGACAAGTGAACTCCCTTTTGGACAAGAGAGAGAGACTTCCTGAATCTGTCAGCTCTTTCTGAAATAAGTACACTGATAAGACCAAGAAGGAA